GATTTAACCACGTTTTTCTTTGATGATGTTTATAGTTTTGGTTTTTTTCTTTGTTGTGTTCTTGACGAATTGGATCAAACTGACACAGGAGGAAATTGCCCTTCCTTCTCCAGTAGAGCATCTGGTGGATTCGAACCATGTGCCTTCTAGATTGCAACACAGCTCCTTGCCACTAGGCCACCAGAGCTCCCTCTCATTTTAGATTTTAAGCCTAGATCCTTGCTCTTGTTAGAATTATTTTTTTCTATATTATGTGAGTTATGGATTTTGTTTCTGTTTTCTGTAAACAGATACCCAGTTTTGCCAGCACCATTTATTAAAGTGACTATCTTTCCCCATTTAGTGGATTCTATCTCTGTGTCAAAGATCAGCTTTCTGTAGGTGAATGGATTATTTTGAATTCTCAATTCCGCTCCATTTGTCTATCTGTTGCTGTATGAGTACTGTGATGTTTTGGTTACTGTGACTGGGTAGTCGGGTTTCAGATCAGGAAGTGCAAGGCCTCCTACTGTGTTTTTCTTCTTTAGTTGTTATTGTTAGGTGTCATCAAGTACAACTCAGAGCAACCCTATCAACAATAGATCTGAACCCTGTCCTATCCTGTGCCGTCCTCATCATCTCTGACACACTTGAATCCATTGCTGCAGTCACTGTGTCAGTCTATCTTGTGGATGGTCTTCCTCTCTTTCACTGATCCTTCCCTTTTCCAATCATTATGTCATTTTCCAAGGAATAGCCTCTCCTAACCAAAGTACGCAGAAACTTTGCCATCCTTGCCTGTAAGGAGCGCTCTGACTGTAGATACCTGTTTGTTCTTTTGTCAGCCCATGGGATATTCACTACTCTTCTCCAACACCACAACTCAAAGGCATAAATTCTTCTTCTAAAATTTACAACCAGGAGAAGATAAAATAGATGAATGGGACCTTCTAAGAATCAAATCCCTATGCGCATCCAGAAACTTCTCTAACAGGGTAAAAAGGGAAGCCACAAATTGGGAAAAAGTTTTTGGTAATGACATGTCAG